CTGTTCGTGTGCTCTTGGTTCCCGTTGTCTTTCTAGTTCCGAAACCAAAAATCAGAAGATCAGGAAGAAGAGCAATGACAAAAAAGGCAAATCAGTAAAACAGTGAAGAAACCAACTGTTTTCAAGAAGCCAAAAATCAAACCAAACCATGAGTGTTGAATGTGTTTTAATCTAGCCAAGCCCTGAATGCTGAATGTGGTTTATTTCTATTGAAAAACCATGTTTTTGTTTGTACTGTTTTCCTGAGTGTTATGTGTTTGCACTTTTTATGTGGTTCCTGGGGTGGCGGTTGCCTTGTTCTTTTTTTGTGTCCGGAACCGGAAATCAAGTACAACAACAACAACAACTGAAAACCCATAGCAACTTAAACAATCATTCGTTTTTTCAAAAAATCAAACGGGAAATCAGACAAACCCTGTCTTTTGGCATGCCAGTTTCCATTGAAAAACAGCTGATGTGTGTTGTTTCCTAGGCCTTTCCTATGTGTTTCGGATTTCTCGTCGTGTTTCTGTTTTCCTGAGCAATTGGTTCCTTTTTTAATGGACCCTCCCTAAAACAACAAAAACATTGCTCCGTTAAGAAACAATACGAAACATCAAGCCGAACCCTTCGTGTTGATTGATGTTTTGTCTGAGTTGCACCTGGAAGAGAGACTTGGTGTTTGTTGTTGTCTATGGATGTTTACTTTTTTTCCTGATTTTCCTGGGCCCCTGTTTTCCCTTGCAATCCTATGATGGTCGTTCTCAGTCCTCCTTTTTCCTATCTGTCTCCCTGCTTTTCCTCCTTCCTCTCTTTCTCTCCCTCCCCGCCTCCCTCCCTCCCTCCTTATCCTTTTCCTCCTCCTCTTCCTCATCATCGTCTCTCCTGTCCTCCGTTTTCTTGCGCTGCTGCACTGCAGCTTGGGATTTCGTTGGGTTGTAACTTGATTCAATGTCCCAGCGCGACGGTGCCGCCACTTCGGCGCAATCGGGAAAGAGTGTGTGTAGCTGCTTCAAAGAGGCCGAATCATCTCGGAGAGATATCCTTGCGACAAAGCGTGACCCGCGAACTCCGTAGCCATTGTGGCCCAAGCGCAAGTGCAGATGCGTCCAACACTGTTTTGCGATGGTTGTCGTAAAGCGAGCATGCGCACGTTGCAGCAAAAAATGGGGGCCATGGCGTTGTTAGCTGTGAGTGCTTTTCGGACTGGCTCCTTCCATGCCTTGCCCCTTCGTCCTCAAATATTTCTCATACGTCCTTCCTCGTTAACCATCCAGTCTCTCTTGGTTGTCCTCGCTTTTCGTTTCTCGTTCTATGGACGGCCTCTTCTTGCTTGGGATCATGCGGGGCCTTCGAGCTGTTCAGGGCCAGCGTGGGGAGACATTGAATACGAAATGGCATGGCTTGGAGTGTAGGGGTTTCTTGGGGATCTTCCCCCCATCGTACAAATTCATCGATCGGTTCCTCCACGCGTTTCGTACGGCCCCCTCCAAACTGCAACCACAGATCCTGTGTGGTAGCCGTAAAGTCTTGAGTCCTTAACTTTGCCGCCTCTGAAACGTCCGGCCCATGCACTGACATCTGCATGAACTGCATTTCGGCGCCCACAATGTAAACGAGCGCAGATGCCGCCGCAAAGATCATTACGTGTGCCATCGTTAAGTCGACGATCGCCAAGAAGTGTGGCAGTGGATGTCCAGTTGCGATGTGAGAACGCGGAGCGCTCACCTCGCGAGCCTTGAGCCAAACTGGCTACGGACTCGAGTACGGCATTCTTGGGATGTGCAGGTTCGCGACGGACTTCAAAGGAACTGTGCTGCGAACCCGAGGTTCGTTTGAGCCCGTTGGAAGCATTCGTAGGAGAACGCATTCATGGCGGACGCACGCCCGTGCAACATCATGACGTTCGGGAACCATCGCGCGGCTAGCACATGGGCTCCTGCCTGACCACGAAATACAATGCAATGGGCGGCAATGCGAATGAATGCCAAGACATTCTCGGTGGACAGCCGACGTCGCAAAACCTCGGTGGGACGATGATTCCGAGATGCAGAGAGGCATCAACGACGCGGGAGGCAATCACCTTCCGCTTGCACGACTGCCTCTCAGGGACTTTGAGGACCTCTGGAGGCCAGTTGGGCGCGTGTTGAAGGCCTTTGTGGACTCCCTCGAGCCTGTCGCGACTGGGCATGTAAACTCCCTGGCCTTTCGCGACCAGGCCTCCTTGGGGTCCTCTTGGCGGGTTTTGGGCCGTTTTCGGAGCCCTGGGGCCCCTGGAGCCATCCTAGGGCCGTCCTGGGCTGTCTTGGGAGCCTCCCGTGGCCCTTTTGGGCCTCCCTTGGGAGCTTTTTGGTGGCCTCCTGGGCCCCCTTTGGGTCGTCTTGGGGCCCTCTTGGTCATCTTGGAGCTCTCTTGAAGGACTCTTGAGCCGTCCTGGGGCAATTTCGGGAGGCTCCTGGGCCGTCGTGGACGCTGCGAGGTAAAGTATGACAGCAACGTACGTATGTTTACCTCAGCGAACGGAGCACTTCATGCCTCTAGGCGGTCCACTTGAAGGCCTCTTGAGGAGTCTCGGAGGCCATCCAGGCCACTCTTGGAGCCTTCTGGGCCTGCAGGCAAGGCCCAACAAAGCGCCCGTGGAGGCCAGGAACGGCCGCTGGACCTGTTCCGAGAACGTCCACGGGACCCTATAGAGCCCTGAATCCTGGGAGTCCGGGGTTGGGGGGGCGGTGAAGGATTTTCGCCCCTGCACGGATTGTGAAAATCCGCCGACCCTGTCGGCGTGTGAAAGACGTATCCTGGTCTCGTCATCTTGCGTTGGTCGTCGTCGTCGTCGTCGTCGTCGTCGTCGTCGTCGTCGTCGTCGTCGTCGCCCACACTGCCCACGAGATCGTCACGTCGGCTCCAAGAGGGGTGGTCGGCTCCCCTCGGGAGGGGGGAACTGCCCACGACACCGCCACGTCGGCTCCAAGAGGGGGAGTCGTCGACTCTCCCCGGAGCGGCCGCGACCCGGGGGGGAAGCCAATCTGCTCCCCCCGGGCGAGGGGAGCGGCGCCGATCCGGGGGGGAAGCCAGTGTGAGCAACGTCGTAGCTCACTCGAAGGGGAGCCCCTTCCCTTTCATCCCGTCCCCCCGGGGGGGGGGGCGGGGGGGAGGAGGGGGGACCCACCAGGATAGCCGGGGAGGGGGGTTGGGCGGGGGGGGGTCCCTTCCGGATACGCTGCTTCGGGGGAGGGGGGGGGGAGGGGAGCCGCCGCGACGCGGGGGGAAACCACTCTGAGCAACGTCGCAGCTTGCTCGAGGGGGAGCCCTCTCCCTTTGACGGGGGTGGGGGGTCGGGGGGGGGGACCCACCCGGATATCCAGGGGGAGAGGGGGGGGGAGCATCGCGACGCTGCGGGGAAGCCAGTCAGAGCAACGTCGGTGTTTACTCTCGAAGGGAAACCCAGCCCCTTTTACCCCTTCCCCCCGGGGAAAGGGGGGGGGGGGCGAGGGAAGGGGGGGAAGGGGAGCCCACCCGAATACCCGGGGGGGGGCGGCTCGGGCGGCTCCTTTCGGGGGATTCCCTGCCCACGAGATCGTCAAGTCCGCTCCAAGAGGGGTGGTCGGCTCCCCTCGGGGGAGGGGGCCCGTCCACGACACCGCCACGTCGGCTCCAAGAGGGGGAGTCGTCGACTCTCCCGGGGCGAGGGCCACCTGGGCGGACAAGGCGGCCCTCCGCTGGGCCTTGTCCGCGCTCAAGGCGTTGGGCGCCCGGCCTATCCGCGATGGCTGCGGTCCGGGGCAACTCCGGCTGGGGCCCCCGAGGCGCGAACCTGCCACTGCCCCTGGCCGCCCCCAGCCCTGGCGATTCGGGGCTCTGATGGAACTGAGATGGCCGCGGCGGTTGGAGGCGAAGCCAGGAGGAGGATAAACTCGGGTGGGGCCAAATCGAGAAACTCCGAGATCCCGATGCCTCGGGCGCCGCGGCCTTCCCAGAGCGTTCCAGAACGCTCTGAGAGCATTCCGGAATGCTCTGGAATCCGCCGACCTTGTCGGCGTGAGACAGGGGCTGTTCCGTCGCCATCGCCGTCGCTGCCGCCGTCGCGTCGCCGCCGCCATCACATCCCTCCTTCCCCTGAGTCCTTCGCCGCTTCCCCCTTTTCCCTGGGCCCTCTTCCTCAAGCACGCCACCCAAAGCGAAATATACCAGCCCATCCACAGCGAAATCAAGCAACATTGTCATTGAGTCGAAGGAAAGCGCCTTCCCTTTGATCCCTTCCCCGCGGAGTGGGGGGTCCCGGAAGGGGGTCCCAGGGGGGGTCCCGGGTCAGAATACCACCCTCCCTCCCAGGGCCCATGGCCCGCCCTCTCCCTCCCACTTCCGTCGAGGGCCGAGGCCTCCAGGGTCGGCGGCAGAGGCAGTAAGGCCTGAGAGCTCAGATAAATACACGCACGCATATGCGTTCGTTGACATTTTTCTTTCCCCTTTTCCTTCTCCCCCCCCCCCCCCCCACACGCATATGCGTCGTGACTTCTTAAACAAAGGGCGTTCCTTTCTGAAACGGTGCTCTCTCCTAACTGGCTGGCAAATGAGGCGCTCGCCTTAAAAAAAATCTTCCCCTTGTGGCACGGAATGCTTACAAGGACATGTGAGGAGTGAGAGGAGAGGACGCGACACGCGCAGGAGGAGGAGGAGGAGGTAGGAGGAGGAGGAGGAGGAGGAGGAGGCTCGGGACGGGAGGGTGTCTTGTAGCATCGTTGATGTGTCATGGGTTTACTCTAATTCCCCTTGTCCTGTTCCTGCCCCGTCCCTCCCTCATCCCGCCCCCCTCTCTCTCTCACACACACACGCACACCCATCCACCCCCCTCCCACGCACCCTCTCCCACCGCCCACCTCCATTTTCATCTCCCCCGCCCCCCCGCTCCAGAGCTCCAGAGGAGGTAGTGATGAGAAAAACACAGATGGGTGGACGACGCGGGCGATTACTCCGCCCTCGGGAATCCCCCGGGGGTCTGGGCCGGGCCGCCCCGGATGGGCCTGCGCACCGGGCATCGTCGGCGCCCCCGGCAGGTGCGGGGCGGGCAGGCCCGGGGCGCCGGCCAAAGCCTGCGGGTCCGGGACGACCTCGCCCCCCTCGCCCTACAGTGGGGGCCAGTCCACGGGAAACCTTTTTCAAGAAACCGAACCCTGAGACCCCAGGACGTCCATTGACTTCTGGCGTGGGAACATCGCGCTTTCCGTCGCAAAACCATCGACCCCCCCCCCCGACAAAAAAAAAACGGGGCACCCTGGAGGAAAGCAGGGTGTTTCTTGGCATGGGCCCCCACTGTACCTTTGCTTTGGGAATTAAGCCGACTTCAACCCATATATATATATATACACATATGTATGTATAGCAGCGTCTGGATGGTAAGCAGGCGCAGACAGGAACATAGATCGCATGGCGACCGCAGGAGGACAAACAATACATGGGCGCAAGAGGCACGTGAAAAGAGTAAGCCCGCAAGGGCACAGAGTATACGTCCGCCAAGCGCTTTAGGAGGAGGTGAACGAAGCCGAATCGAGAACATCGAAGCCGAGCGAAAAGTAACGACGAAAGGTGCGCAATGCACGCGACGGAGGCTGCCTGCTGACTGTTGTCCCATAGAAATCCCGGTATATCCGACGAAAGGAAAAACAAAGGTGAACTGAGCAGTTGCGAGTCATGGTTCGGGCAGACTTGATGGCATGCTGCAGTTATGGTTTATCGTCATTTTCATTCGTTGGCCTGTTAAGCTGGAAGCGCTGCCGTTCAAAGGGTAGCGCAGCTATCGTCCGAACCCCGTCCCGCCCCCCCCATACTCCACCCGATCCCCCATCGCAAGCGCGAGTGAGATGATGCTGGCAAGGGTAAGATGGTCGAGATCAAATGTCGCCTCAGTTGTCGCCAGTAGCGCCATGGGGATGTAATGCCAGATGTGGCCGCCCGCGACGTAACAGTAGCTTGGGCTGCGCAAGGCTGGGTCTCGGCATGTCGGGGGATGCCTGGATATGGGCAAGTTGGTGTGGCGCGCGGCCCTCCCCCTCGCAGGCTGCTCCTGCGCGGCGTCGCGCTCGTCGACGGACGCGGCCGCCGACGCCGACCGCGCCCCCGCTCGCCGGCGCGCGCGCTTGTGCCCGCCAGGCGAGTTTGTGGCCTGCAATACGGAGCGGGGGGATGATGGCCGCGTGCCTGGGAGCGCGAGTCGAGCCACGCGGGTCCCAGTCGCCCGCGCGCTGCGCGCGCGGCCCCAGGCGGACCCGCCTCGGACGAACTGGCAACTGGCTGCCAGGGGCGGGCGCGCGCGCGAGCGCCCGCGCGGGCATTGGGGTCCTGCGCCTCCAGCGGCGAGCTCAGGACCCCCGACCACGGGGGCCCTGCGCCTCCAGCGGTCAGGGCCCCTGACCGTGAGGTCGAGCACGACCTGCTTGCCGTAGCCGTCGGGCCTCCACCACCGCCCACGCGGTGGATCTTCACGCCGTTCATGTAGTAGGACTGCTGGAACCTCTGCGACTCGAAAAAGTCGCCCATGAGGAAGAGGTCGAAGCGCACGGCCTCGATGTGCTGGACGACCTCCGCCATATCCGCACCATCCCAAAACACCATGTTGAACAACTTCTCAGCCTCCGACACCTCCGCCTCCACCGTCTCGGAATCGCCCGACTCCGAGTGCGACCCCTCCCCGTCGAAGTTCTCCACGTGGAGCAGCAGGAGGAACACGAGGAGCAGCAACAGTCGGAACAGCAGGAGGAACAACAGGAATTACAGCAGGAACGCGCACGCGAACACCGAAACATGCCATTCGGCGCCACGCCATGCCGGCGAGCTCGGCGCCGCACCCATTGGGGAGCCTGTGAGCGCCACAACACGCTTACGAACACCAGAGCATGCCTTCCAGCACCACGCCATGCCTGTGAGCAGTCCGCCCCCCAGCATGAATGGGAGGGTCCAGACCTCCCCGCCTAGTACGATCATTCGCGTTACCCGGGGCGCGAGCGTGACGCCGGGGAGGAACAACATAATTACGCTCACAATGGTGTTCTGGCGCAGTTCAGGCTCGTCAGGAGGCAAAGGAGAAAATGATCTGCGGCGCTGAAGTCCTAGGAAAGGTGTTCTGGCACGGTTAAGGAGTCTCAGACGGTTGTTTTCCAAACAGACACCTCCCGCAGTGAAAACAAATTCTGGTAACGCTGCTCGTCCCACGGCCCGCTCGGCTGGGGCATACGCAACGTGGGGTGCGGCGCCCAACCGGCGCGCGTGCCGTCGCGGCTGGGCCCCGATGGCCCAGCGCGCCGTCGCGCCGCCGACCGAAGTCGTCTGGGCACCACCGCCGGGAGCGGGCGGGTGGGAGATAAAGCACGGCGCGCTGCGCGGCCCTTCCTCAGGCCGCGCCGCGCGCCTTCGCGCCCCGAAGGCAGCGCGGCCCTGTCGCGGACCGCGCGCCTCCCACGCCGCCAGGCCGCCGCGCGCGGGCGCCTGGCGCGCGCTCTCCCCCGGCCGCGGCGCCCGCGACGCCCCTCGGCGGGGCCGCGCGCCTCCCGCGCCGCCGCCTGGCCGCCGCCCGCCAGCGCCTGGCGACAGGCGGGCGGTACTTCTTAACGCCCTGCCGTCCTGTGGTCGAGCGGCCCGGCGGGCGCCGCAGGCCGACGCGGCGGCCCGGCGGCGCCCGCGCGTCGCGCGCGCGAGCGCGCTCGCGTCTGCCAACCAAGGTGCCCTTACAGGCCAACAACTTGGAAGGAGCGTTTATACTGCAGCGCACCACTACCTCCTCCTCCTCCTCCTCCTCCTCCTCCTCCTCCTCCTCCTCCTCCTCCTCCCCCCCTTCCCTCTTTGGTTTTTCTCTGGCTCCTCGGCCGCCCCCTCGGTCCGCGCCTGGGCGCCAGCCAGGCCCTGCACTGCCGCAGGGTTCTGCAGCGGCGGGAGGGCCTGGCGGCTGGGCGTTGCTCATGGGGGGGGGGCCGATCCACAAGAAACCTTTCACAAGAAACCTTCTCCCTGAGACCCCAGGATGTCACTTGACTTTTGGTGAGGGAACGCCACGCTTTCCATCGCAAAACCATCGAAGCCCAAGGAACCCAGGGAACCCTGGAGGCGAGCAGGGTGTTTCTTGGCATGGGCCTCCACTGTATGGAGGGGCGATGTCCAGACCCCCTCGGGTCGTGAACAAAAGCACGACGGACTCTTCTGTTACGGTGTTCGGGCCCCTTGCCGGGCCTGAAATGAAAAGCCCGTCCTGGGGAATGGGTCCAGGCCTCTGTAGGTCAGTGTTTATAACAGATAATGATGCCAGGGGTCTGGAAATGGGGTGGAAGAACCGTGCACCTTTCGTCGACGTGTTGGGGCCCAGGGGGTTCCCACTGGGGCCCCGCAGATGCACGATAAAGGTGGTCCTCTCTTCATTCCCCCGTTTCTCTCCCTCCTCCCTCTCCTCCCCTTCTCCCTTCCCCCACCTCCTCCCTCCTAACTCCTCCCTTCTCCATCTCCTCCCTCCTTCCTGCTCCATTTCTCTCCCTCCTCCATATCCTCCCCTTTCTCCAAATTGCCGTGTCAGCCAGGGTGGTGGCACCAGGAAGCTGGGCCCGCCAGCAGGGTTGAGGCGGTGCCCCCTGGAAGTCTAGACCACTGCCCTGGGACCGGCTTCTCGCTCCGGGGTCCCGGCGCGGCCCCCAGAGTCAGACAATGGCAAACGATCGGTCGCAGGGCTCCATTTCCCAAGATAGGAGGAGGGGGTCACCCTCCCCCTCCTCACATGGGATGGCACAGGCTGGCAGGACAGCTCACCACACATGCGAAGGCCTCTTGGCGCACTCCTCTGCGCCGAGCGAACACCGGCCCTGACCCCCCTGCTGACCCTCCAGAGTCAGGAGGGAAAAAACACACAGACACAATTAATCCTCGATTCCCAGGAAAATATGGGAAAATATGGGAATTGGGGGGGAAGACAAAAACCCAGAAAATATGGGAAAATATGGGGATAATTTTTATTTGTGTGTATTTATTTGTGTGTCCCAATTTCCCTTTACAGAGTTCCGCCCCCTGGCGGCGCCGCGGCCGCCAAGGCAGCGGCTAAGAGAGGGGGGGGCCCCTGGCATCGGGCCGCGGGCACGCCTCTCCACGGAGGAGAGCCCACCAGGCGCGCAGGGGCGAAGCAGCGCCGCTCGGGCACTCGACCCCCGATCTCGCTGTGGGCGTCCTCTCGTCCGACGTCCGATGCTCAGGTGGTCCTGCCTTCGGCCTGTCCTCGGCCTGTCCGCCACGGCGCCGCGAGGCACTGAGCGGAGTGCCCTCGGGCCCATACTGCATCACACTGAGCACTGTAACGCGTGTGTTGGAAGACCCCGACATGCCAGACTCCTGGGATTCTTGGGCTGCGTCGCGCGAGTTTACGATAAGGCCCCGGTAGCGTGGTTCGGAATCCACACTTCCAATATGCATCGAGATGGTCCCAGCGGGCCTTTCTGGGCCTTTCCGGGGCCTTCTCGGGGGCCACTGGGGTCGTCTTGGAGGCTCTAGGGGCCCCAAGAGCCAATCTCACTGAAACAACGAAGGCTGCTTGATGTGAGATTCGCGTATCCCATCGGCTCTGGGGTCTTGAGAGCGTCAGAGACGGCCAAAGGAGGCCCCCAATATCCTCCCAAGACGCCCCCGAGGCCCCGAAGAGGAGCCCAGGACATCGAAACTATCCTTTTCGTCGTCGGTACAGAATGTAATCGGAATGGGATGCATAGTAAGATGGATGGATACAGGATGCAGGAGAGAGTTTGCCACGGAAGGCAGCGCCAGGGGGGTGGGGCTCCCCCCCCCCTTTAGCCCCCCCCAACAACTGCCCCCCCACCCTCTCTGGACCTCCCTTGTGTCTTCCCGCTCGAGGCGGCCCCAAGATGGCCTCCAAGACGGCCAAGATGTTCTCCAAAATGACCACAATGTCCCCAAGAGAGAGCCCAAGATGGCCCCAATATCTCCAGGAAGAAGCGAGATGCCCCCAAGAAGACCCAGGATGGCCTCAAGATCGCCCAGGGCGGCCCAAGAGGCCTCCAAGACGGCTCAAGAGGCCTCCAAGAGGAACTCCAGGAATGCTCGAAGAGACTTAAATCCTCGACTCCCTTTGGATTTCAAACGTATGTGGGCGTCAGCTCATTTTCAGTTCTCCGATGGCCCAAGACTGCCCCAGAGGCCACCAAGCTGGCCCCGAGGGCGCCCAAGAGGCCTCCGAGATGCCCTCCTGCCGGCCTGAGAGGCCCCCAAAGGCGGCCCCAAGACTGCCCAGGACACCTCCAAGGCGCCCAAGATGGCCTCCTGGACGGGCCGGAAGCGCCCCGGAAGGGCCTCAACTCGGCTCAGAGAGGCCTCCAAGACGGCTCCACGACGGCGCCAGACGGGCCAGGAACGGCCCCAGGCGGTCAAAGAGACTTCCCAGGAGCCACCGCATGCCCCGAAGAGGCCGAAGGAAGCCCCCAAGAGGCCTCCAAGAGGCCTCCAGGAAGCTCCCAGGAGACTCCAAGAGTGGCCCAAGAGGCTCCCAGGAGGCCTCCTCCTCCTCCTCCTCCTTCTCCTCCTCATTTTTCCTCCCTCTTCTCTGTTTCTTCTTCTTCTTCTTCTTCTTGTTATTCTTCTTTATCCCCCACGTGTCCCCCAAAGGGTTTCCACAACGGCCAGGGGAGCACATAGCCCAATCGCTTGGCTGAACTCTGGACGCAACTCGGCCGCATAGGCACTTCAGAAAGGTAGGGGGCGGCGGTGATTCGCCGTAGGCGTCTTCAATCCGCCGCCCCCTCTCTGCTTGCAGAGGGGTGCACGCCGTGCCGAATCCCACCAGCCCTCTGGGCGTAGGTGGTTCAACGAACTCTTGTCGCATTTGCTGTAACAGTCCCTCCTTACCCTGCTCGGGGGAGGGGTTTATCTCTGCTCCCTATTAACTTACACCCCCTCCCCCACACAGCCGGCGGCCAACCCGGAACTATGCCAAACCCATGCGGGCCACCCCCTCCACCATCCCTGCCATAAAACAATTCAAAACGCACTCGGCCTCCACATTTGGAGCATGCGCGGCCAACCCGACGCGGCCCCCCCACCATCCCTGACAAAAACAATACACAAAGTAGACATTGGGGCACAGTCTCAAGTCATGTTCGTGAGGCCCGCTAGCACCTTGTATTGTGTTTGACAGGGACGGCGGGGGTGTCAGCATACTCCCTGCTATGCACAGGGCTACCATCCCTGAGACAAAAAAAAAACCATACAACATGCACCTCGCGGCTAAATCTGGATCATGCGCGGCCACCCCGCGATCACTGTCAAGTGGTCTTTGACAGGGACGGCGGGGGTGGTGACGTATGGCCTGCTGTGCGCAGGCCCACCAGACACAATGATGGGCGTTGGTTTTCGACAAGGACGGTGGGGGCCGACATGTTTCCCGATGTGTGCTGTCACGTGCGCAGGCGCACCTGACACACTCTGCACGCGCCCCGAACGTGGCGCACCTGGACCGGCTGGAGTATGAAGCACACCTGGCGCACGTGGAACACGTGGCGCATCTGGTGCACCAGACGTGCCTGGTACACTCTGGTCCCGCGTTCTCGCACATGGGGTCGACTTTGGTGCCCAGTAGTTGACTATCCAAACACGACCGGTGAACCTGCTCAGGCTCGGGTGTTACTTTTGTGTTGAAGGGCGGGTGGGAGTGAGCTAGACGGCTTGCGGGCGGGTGGGTGGCTTGATCACTGTTCCTTATCACTATACACCCCATCCCCCAGGCGACCGGGGGCCAACCAGGCACTATGCCGACACCATGCAACCCGATGCGCCCCCCCTTCACCATCCCTGTCAACAAAAACAATGCAAAATACATTTTGAGGCAACATATTGAATCATGTTCGTGGAGCCCGCGAGCATTTTGTTTTGTTTTTAACAGGGACGGCGGGGGTGTCAGCATACTCCCTGCTGCGCGCAGGGCTACCATCCCTGACAAAGAAAAACCACACAACATGCACATTGCGGCTAAATCTGGGTCATGCGCGGCCACCCCGCGATCACTGTCAAGTGGTTTTTGAAAGGGACGGCGAAGGTGGTGGCGCGTGGCCTTCTGTGCGCAGGCCCATCGGTTTTCGACCAGGACGGTGGGGGCCGACATGTTTCGCCCTGTGCGCAGGCGCACCTGACGCACTTTGCACGCGCCCCGAACGCGGCGCACCTGGCGCGGCTGGAGTGTGCGGCGCACGTGGCGCACTCGGAACACGTGGCGCATCTAGCGCACCAGGCGTACCTGGCACGTTCGGGCCCCAGGGGTGCCTGGCGCGCGTGGTGCCCCTGGCACACGTGGCGCACCTCGCCCAAGCGTCGCGCACCTGGGCTCGGCTTCGGTTCCCACTCGTTGCCCATCCAAAAACCGACCGCTGAACATGCTCAGGCTCGGGTGTTAGTTGTGTAGGGAGGGCGGTTGGGAGTGAGCTAGACGGCTTGCGGGCGGGTGGGTAGCTGGGTAGCTCGACCCCTCCCACATACCCCTCCCATGGGCCTGGGGGGGAGGACGGGGTAGTTAGAGCGCCCGAGATGGCTCCAAGAGGGCCTCAGAAAACCCAGGATGGCCTACAAGATAACCCAAGATAACCGAACATGGTTCAATATAGCCCCCACTACGCCTCGATGGCGCCTCGAGATGGCCCCAAGGCAGTTTCCAACGCCCTTCGAGTCCTCCAAAGGCCTCCCCGACATGCCAAAATGGCTCGAAACCCCAAAGACAACCAATGCTGGTTGCGTTCTAACCTTTTCGCTTCCGATGGGCTCGTGAGGCCTGAAGATGGCTCCAAGACGGCCCAAGAGAGCCCCCAGGGGGACAACAAGCTCCAAGACAGCCCCAAGAGCGCCCAAACAACGCCCCAAGAGGGCCGCATGACGTCATTGCTCAGCTTCCGAAGGGGGGGGGTCAG